AGTGATTCCTGCATATACAGTTGCTGCTACTGTGACACGTTGTGTTCTCATTTGTTCACCTGCTCATGCCCTGATATGTTTCCACTTTGCAAACATTTGCATAAAGTTTTCTCAATTATTGCTGTATCAGCAGAGCCTGATGCTAAGGAGGAAAAAGAGCCCGAGTTTTTCACAGCAGTTGAGAATACTGAGACAGTAGATAATGAGACAGCAACTCAGAGTCTTGAGAGCCATGAAGAAAGAAGTTTTCAACGACGTATCGAAGCAATCAGGAAAATAATGCAAGATTTGGACAACAAATTTTTAGATACCAGTCCTGTAAAAAGACTTTTACCACGGATTGAAAATACATTCAGAGACATACAGACGCAGTGTAAAGTTCTCTGTGAAGATCCTGTGATCGCAGTTACAGAAATGGATGTGAAGAGTAAAACAGCTCCAAATGAAAAATTAAAGAAACAACTGAAGCCTTTTGAGAAGAAATCTAGGAAACGTAAAAAGAAAGAATTACAGAAGCCACATAGGCAAAGCGTGAAAGAAATAAAAGACTTTCTTCTTCATGAACAGGAGGATGAGGAAAATGTTGATGCAGATCTGTCTGATTATTTGCCTCAGTTGAGTAATGAGCAGACTAGTGATGAATCCATCAGAGATGATACCCCACTTATTGATATTGTTTTAGAACATCAGGGTATTAGAATTTCTTCTCTACATTTAAAGGCTCTAAACCCAAATATTAATACAACAGAGTTGCCGTCCCTCCTGCGTGCTGATCCAAACTTTGTGCATGGTTATCTATATGATGAAGTGATAAATATTTACCTCAAATTGTTATGTGATCAGAATCATAATGTGTTTGCCTGTGATACTACTTTAGCCCTAAGGTTGTGTAGTGGAAAGTCTGACTTTAAGAATTTCTGTACAAAACTGTCACACAAAAGTATTATTTTATTCCCAGGCAATCTTGACGACAAACACTGGGTCATTATTGCTGTCGAAGTTACAACTTGCTCCATGTGGTACTACAATTCACTCAGCAGTCCAGAAAGTCTACTATCTCAATCTG